ACCTCATCATGAGCAGGGCAGATGTTCTCCTGGAGCTTCTTGGAGGGATCCACCAGCTTGTGTTTCTGAATCATAATGAGGCTGAAGGTGTTTCTCACAGTAAGAGGCCAGACAGACTAAACAGGACTTGATGGCTTTGAGTTTTCTTCCAGAGCAGACATCACAGGACACATCTTCAGGTCCAGCATAGCAGAGATCAGCAGGAGCAGCTTGGAGTCCAGTCTTCTTCAGCTGCTCCACTAAAGCTGCTAACATGGTGTTTTTCTTCAGGGCAGGCCTCGGTATGAATGTCTCTCTGCACTKAGGGCAGCTGTGGATTCCTCTCTGATCCTCTTCATCCCAGAAGTTTTGAACACACTTCATACAGTAGCTGTGGCCACAGGAAGTGGTCACAGGATCCTTCAGCAGATCCAAACAGATGGAACAGGAGAAAGCTTCTCGATCCAGCTGAACACCTTGTTGCTCCATGTCTCCTCTCACGAAAGGCTGTCAGATTCACTTACTGAAAACAGAAACTGCTCTGAGCCAATGACTCACAGATCACGTTTGGGTGGAGAGAAGAAGCCAATCAGGCTGCAGCTGCTGTTTGAGAGCAGGAAGAAGAGGAGAAATTCACAAAACTGCAACAATTTTACTTTCATTTTAGTTTGCCTCCTCCTGACCTGACTGGTCCGGCCACAATTTTAAATACAGTGCAATAAATTCCAGCCTCTCCCTGGGCCGCCACCATATCATGATGGAGGGGTTTGAGTGTCCCAATGATCCTAGGAGCTATGTTGTCAGGGGCTTCATGCCCCCCAGTAAAGTAATCCAAGGCAAACAGTTCCTAGGTGAGGGATCAGACAAAGTACAGCCCAAAGACCCCTCATGATGAGTAAAACAAATGGATCTGGTGTTCCCTTGTTCAGGCGCAGGTTACTGGGGSCCCCCTCTGAAGCCAGGCCAGGAGGTGGGGCACTTCCTGGAGGCTGGSGAGCGCCTGATGGCCAGGCTTTCACCTACTGTATGGAGCCTGGCCTTGCACAGTCTGAAGAGGAGACATGGGTCTCCCTTCCATGGGCTCACCACATGTGGGAGGGGCTGTAGGGGTCGGGTGTAATGTGTGAGGGGCAGWGKTCAAAGGCGAGGACCTTGGTCCGATCCTCGGCTACAGAAGCTGGCTCTAGGGACGTGGAATGTCACCTCTCTGGTGTGGAAGGAGCCTGAGCTGGTGTGTGAGGTTGAGATGTTCCAACTAGATATAGTCRAACTCACCTCGACGCCCCGCTCTGGCTCTGGAACCAGTCTCCTCAAGAGGGGTTGGACACACTTTCACTATGGAGTTGCCCATGCTGAGAAGCGCCKAGCAGGAGTGGGGACAGAATTTCTAGGCACCAAGTTGTTGAGAGGATCCGTTTTGGTRACCTTAGGATCACATATCTGCTTGTTGTGGATGATGTGGTCCTATTGGCTTCATCAGATTGTGATCTCCTCTCCTCTTCACAATGAAGCTCTCACTGGAGGGATTCACAGCGGAGTGTGAAGGAGCCRAGATGAGGACCATTGCTTCCAAATCCGAGACCATGGTCTTGAGCCAGAAAAGGGTAGGGTGCCTTCTCTGGGTAGGGAAGGAGGTCCTGCCCCAAGTGGAGGAGTTTAAGTATCTCGGGGTCTTGTTCATGAATGAGGGAAGAATGGAGCGGGAGATTGATAGGCGGATTGGTGCTGCATCTGCAGTAATGTGAGCCACGAAGCGAAACTCTCGGTTTACCAATCGGTCTACGTTCCTACCCTCATCTATGGTCATGAGCTTTGGGTAGTGACCGAAAAAACAAGATCGTGGATACTAGCGGCCAAAATGAGTTTTCTCTGCAGGGTGTCTGGACTCTCCTCTAGAGATAGGGTAAGAAGCTCGGTCATCCTGGAGGGGCTCAGAGTAGAACCGCTGCTCCTCCATATCGAGAGTCAGCCAGTTGAGATGTCTCAGGCATATGGTTAGGATGCCTCCTGGATGTCTCCCTGGTGAGGTGTTCTGGGCACATTCCACTGGGAGGAGGCTTAGAGGAAGACCCAGGGCACGCTGGAGGGACTATTTTTCTCAGCTGGCCTGGGAACACCTTGGGATTCCCCCGGATGAGCTGGCCCAAGTGGCTGGGGAGAGGGAAGTCTGGGTCTCTCTGCTTAGGCTGCTGCCCCCGTGACCCGACCCCAGGTAAGCGGCAGAAAACAAACGGATGGATGCAGAAAGAGCATGTTTGCTGAATGAAGCAGTGAGAAGCTGAAAAGATCACAAAGAAGAATTTAGATGAAAAAAAAGTTCACATTAGAAAATTGCAACAAAGTAGCTAAAGTCCTGATGCATCTCAGTAATCCAGGTAAAAATCAAAAAGAAAAAAAATTGTATAGGTTTTCTGGACGGGTTCTTCTCTAATGAAACGTTTCGTCTCTCCTCCAAGAGACTTCTTCAGTCTGAGAGTTTCAGGCAAAATTCAGGCTTTTAAGCACTGCCTCCATGCGACTGATACATCACATGGCTATCGTTGRCACCTAATTAACACCTATTGTTAACAGGGGGTGGAGTGATACTGGCAATAGCCGCACTGTAGGAGGGGGACAACTGAAAACGGAGGCCTCCACCAGTTATGCAGTTATACATCGGGGAAACAAAGCAACCACTGTTCAAAAGAATGTCCCAACACAGACGAGCTATGTCTAATGGCCAGAACTCTGCAGTTTTCACTCATTTACAGGCCAGCCGTCACTCTTTCAGAGATGAGGATGTTCTCATTCTTGATAGAGAGGAACGTTGGTTTGAGAGAGGAGTAAAAGAAGCCATTTTTGTGAAGAAAGACCGTCCATCATTAAACAGAGGTGAAGGCCTCCGTTTTCAGTTGTCCCCCTCCTACAGTGTGGCTATTGCCAGTATCACTCCACCCCCTGTTAACAATAGGTGTTAATTAGGTGTCAACGATAGCCATGTGATGTATCAGTCGCATGGAGGCAGTGCTTAAAAGCCTGAATTTTGCCTGAAACTCTCAGACTGAAGAAGTCTCTTGGAGGAGAGACGAAACGTTTCATTAGAGAAGAACCCGTCCAGAAGACCTATACAATTTTTTTCTTTTTAAAGTAGCTAAAGATAAAAAATTGCTTAAATTTGCAAAAATCTGCTAAAATAAGCAAAAATTAGCAGAAAGAAACCTAAAAAAAWTTTAAATTAACAGAATAAATACCAGAAAAAACTATAAGTTGCTGAAATGCCAAAGGTCCCAGCAGGATTGTTCCGAAGGAGCCGAATATTTTGATAAATTGTTGAAATAGAACAAAAATTGCAGAATGAGTTACGTTGAAAAATGGATCAATAGTTTATTAATAGTTCTTCAGGCTTTCTGAAGATCTTTTATTTGCAGTAGTGAGCTGCGACCAGCTGAGGTCTCCCTCGGCTGATGAAAGAATCTAGTTTATTATTGCTCTTCAGTTCTCCWGCAGGCCACATTCAAATAAGGTGGAAATTTCCACTCCAGTCCCTCTGGAGCAAAGGCCAAGGAGATGTTTGAAAAGCAGGACTCCCACAATCCAACTTTTAACTTTTGTTTGGGTTTGACGTTAAAGAAGGAGGAGTTTAAAATTGATACCTGAACCTCAGTAAACCTTAAAAAAACTGTTTAAATTATTGAGACAGTATTTATATTAACACTGATTTCTCTGTTTTTATCAGTAAAAAGTTAAAAACTTTATACTTTTGACTGTTTTATTCTAAAAAGTACTTGTATTTAGATGTTCACTGTGTATAAATGCTTGTGTGACACTGAAACACTAAATAAAGGCAGCGTATTATTTTACTCTACCTTTCAGGGTCAATGCCTGTTGTTGCGATGGAAACCGCTTTCACTTATTTTTGCTTTCAAAAAGTGATTTTATGACCCTTGAGCCTTAAGTTGGCTTAAAAACATTCAAACATTTGTTTTTATTTCAGTTTACTTCAGCTTTATTACAAATTATTTGTCAGTAACTGTATGTAGTGTGATTGGCCTCAGATAAACTAATAATGTTTTAAAAGTTAAAAAAAAGATTTGAAGCATTTTTGCAAGAACTGGAATAAAAAAACTCATAGTTCAGCATTATATTTATATATTAACACAAAAATATAATGTTTATTTTAAAGTACTTTCTGTATGAACCTTTGCTGCTTTAAGTGTACTAATTTTACAAAAAAGAGGATACTGCATCAGTAAAATGAAGCAATAAATCAATATTTCACATATTTAAAATTTTATTAGACAAACATAAGTAAATGTACAATTCAAACAAGAGAACATAAAGAAGATGGAGTTATTTTAAGCAGGAAAAAAAAAGATGCTTGATAATAAAGATAATTTTTATTTCATTCTACAGTTCAAATGATCCGGCCAATCCTGTGAAAGTATAAACCACAACGCCTTATTTGGCTGATAAATATTCAGAATGCAAACAACAAGTGAACTCAACTGTTAAAAAGTGATAAATACAAAATAAAATGTTAATCACTGGAATAAACACAACTACGACATCAGCAGGAAGCTGTTTTAAATATCAGACAAAACCTAAAGTTTAAAATAAAATGTCTTTACAAAAACAGAGTTAAGAAACTGGCATTACCCTTTAAACAGAGTATTTTTATTCAGACCAAATACAGTTTTCTGTTTTCATTCACCTTTTTAAACCCGGGGTTGAATTAAAACAAAGAAAAGTGACTGCAGGACAGAAAAATATCTATTAATTTAGACTATTTTATTATTTAATTAAGTAATTTGTCACAAAATATATATATTAGATTTATGATTTAATTTTAATATTCAAACAGTTGTGTTCTTGTGTGCTTTGACTAAAGAGCAGCTCGTAATAATTTCACTTCTGTGGAGAAAAATATATTGTTTACTGATAAAACTTTAATAGAAATGATGCTCTTTATGTTGGCCTGAAACCTTCTGGGTCTGATCACCTAAACAAAAAAAAGTTTCTTTGAGGATTTTTTTCTTTAATTTCTCTCTTTTTTAATCTTCTCATTTGAACCAAAACAAAAACATTGCTTCACTGAAAAGATGCTTGATGATGTTTTTCTTTTGTGCTTTCAGACGATGAAATGCAACAACCTGAACCAGAAGCTTTATCTGCACACGACACGGCGACTTGAACACGTAGAGTTGCAGCTGGTGATGGATCTGTGCGCCTCGTCTGACCGGCTCGCTTCCTGCAGCTTTTATCACCTCTGAAGTCCGACGTTTTCAGGAAGCACCTGCGCCTCCTCTTCCTGTTCCTCCTCCTGCTCTTCTTCAGATGGCGGTCACTGGCTGGCCTCGCCGCACCGCGCTCACGACACTTCACATGCAAACAGCACAGGATAAGAACAAGAGCAAAACTGGCAGCTCCAGCTGTCTGAATCCTCCACGCCTCTGCGTTTGGCTTTAAATCAGGCCTGAGCGAGCAAAGAAACAAAGACGTTTAAAGCAGTTTTTGTTCTGAAGTCTGGTTTTTTTTTATGTTTTTTTGATTTGCTGTAGCAGTCTATAATCTGTCTTTAGTTTGTGGCCACAACCGTCCGCTGCTACTCAGGTTTGTGGCAGTAAATGTCCTTCAGCGCTTTCAGCTCTTCAATCAGCGTCTTGTTTTGGTTTTCCAACACGGCCACGCGGTTTTCCAGACATTTCACRTACTCTTTCTTTTTCCTGCGACACTCGCGCGCTGCCTCCCTGCAGGGGGAAGAGGAGAAMAAACTGTTTTAAACACCTGAAGAGAGTCTAAATCTACAAAAACTGAAAAGTTTAGTGTTGATGTTTGAAGAGCAGCTCTTATATTTAAGAAAAAACAAAATAAAGTGCTGTTTGCTCACTATTTACGCTGTCAGAGTCTCCTTATGAGACTAATTGAATTTTTCCTTTAGCTCCGCCCACTCATCACTGATCAAACTAACGAGGTTAAGCTCGAGGAGCGGCTCCTCACCTGTTCTTCATCAGCCGGACCTCCCTCTTGCGGGTGATTTCCTCGGCGTGATGCGACGTCGGGTTCTGCATGCTGCTGGGGGACGCTGCCATCACGATGCTCTGAGCGAGGCCCGAGTTGGGCGAGCGCAGCTGGTAGGCGGGGATGTCTCCGGTGGCGGCTGTGGGCGAACATGGACAAAAACGGGGTTAACGTTTTTTTGTTTACAGACAGAAACAGCTGAGGCGGAAAGAGAAGTTTGGAAAAAACCCTGAGTTCAAACTCCTTTTATTGACTCCACCACCCTGCAGAGACGTGTTTACCAACAGCCGGTCTACTGCAGGTGAGTCACCTGACTCGAAGCTTCCAGGTGTTGTTTGTTCTTTGTTTACATAAAGTGCAGAGACACCTTTCAGAACTAAAATGAATGAATGAAATATGTTTAAGACCAGGGGTCTGCAACCTGCGGCTCTGGGGCCACATGTGGCTCTTTGGTCYCTCTACAGTGACTCTTTGAAAATGTGACCAAACATAACAGATTTTTTGTTTGTTTGTTTGTTTTTATACTCACAACAGAAATCRATTTGTATGCAAATACACGATCAGTACTACTAACACAAAGTAAAACATGTTCGCTCATGCTAGCCTGTTAACTTAAATAATCCAACTTCTTTCTATGATCTTTCTCTCAAATCCATCAGAATTACCTTTAAAGAATATTAAAAACTACATAATAAGAATTAGAAGAAAAATATACCTGAATAATTCAGTTGTACAAGTTTTTATGAAATTAGGTATAAACTATAGATTGTATTTTTCTTGTTTTCATGAATCTGGTCTTTTTGTTCTGGTGGATAAAAATAAAAAGAATTCACTATATATTTTTTAGTTTTATAATGACACTTCCACTGGCCGTAAAGTTTCCCAAAATGACCTCGAAAAGGCCCGCGGACCACCAGTTGATAATCACAGCTGTAGCTTATTTTGCAGCTCTGGACACATTTTATTAATGTGTCAGTAGCAGAAATGTCTCTCTTGATCGTAAAGGTTGCAGACCCCTGGGTTAGATGGAGAACTAACCAATCATTTGTTCTCATTTAAGAAAAACTTGTTAAAAATTGATAAAAAGTCTCAGATATTTTCAAAATAAAGTGTCTGTACTGTAATATTTGCCTTCAAAAGGTGAGCATGTTGAAGCTCCCAGGCCTGATTTCTCATGTTTATTCATTTTCTGCTCATAAATGACCTAATTAGTGACTTGTGCTCAATGATTCAGCAGCCGGTACCATGGGAACCAACGACACAGCTCTGGCGAGGTGAAGGTTTCTGCTTGATTTTGCTTTGTTTACTGATCATTTTTTGTTTTCTTAGTAAAGTGTCTGCGTCGTTTATTAAACTGTTTCAGGTCAGAGTTTATCAGCTCTGAAGATGAGTGTGTGTTTGTAGTTGTTTTGACTACAGAGTGAGGACCATGTTAGGTTTTTAAGCAAGAGTGAGGTCTTTGATGTAAAGTGAGGACCTCTTCAATGTCCTCACTTTGTTTGCAGCTCTGCTGTGCTTTACTAGTTAGGTTTAGAGGTATGATGCGAATTAAGTTCTGGTTCAGGTTAGGGTTAACTATAAACCAGTAATGGTTAATTTTAGGGCAAATGTCTGGATTGGGCATAAACACAGTTACAAAAATGAATGGAAGTCAATCCAAAGTCCTCAGTTTGATGCAAATACAAGAATGTGCGTGTGTGTGTTTGGGAGGCGACGTGTTTTATCAAACTGCTGCGACTTCCTGATAACTCCTAACAGTTTACAGAAGACAGCAAAAAGGCAGCATGTAAAAAAAAAACTGTTATTTAAGAAAGAAAGGAAAGAAAAAAATCTGTTTTCTGGATGTGGGTTTCTGTACTTTCTGCTTTGAGTCATCGATGACTCAACAAGTCGCAGCTCGGCTCGCTCTGTGTGTGTGTGTGTGTGTGTGTGTGTCAGCTTCTCTCTTCTCACTTTGTTCCTAGGAAGTTTCAATCTTTCCCACAAACAAACACACATTCACTCAGACAGCACACACACACACACACACACACACACACACACACACACACACAGAGTGTTTCATTCTTGCGATAGCAGCGGCTCGGCCTGCGCTGACGTCAGTGCGTGCGTCTCTCTCGCACATTTTGCATTCTCTCTTCCCTGCCTTGCTCGTGTTCCAGGAAACTCAGTGACGTCAAACCAGCAACTATCTTACCCCCCCACCCCACTGCTACCCCCTCATTTACTCCTTCCCCTCCTCCCCTCCCCTCCTCTCCTCGTTCGTCCGTCCGCCTGCCTGCCTGACAACCACTTTATTGGCTCGATTGTTCCTTCAGTGTTTGACGGCGACACACCGACAGCAGCATTTCTGCACAAACTCACAGTTTTTTTTTTCTAAAACACAAACATCAGATTTATTTTAACAAAGCTCCGCAACGCAAGAAGTAAAAACACCAACATCTAAACATAAACAGTTTTAAGCACCGTCACGTTTTTGCTCCTACAGGTGAAGAAAATGACAGAYTTAGATGCAAAACAACACGAGATGTTTATCTAGAATAAACATTTTAAGACAAAAACTAAATAAAAAAATCTCTAAACCGTACCTGACTCAGTCTCATCTCCAGTGACAGCCATCTCTTGTTTCCAATAATCCAGCACCACAACAGAGGACAGAACTCACCTCAGAAAATGTTCAAACAAAAAGATATCTACCCTTTTTCTTAAAATTATTTTCTCTTTTCTCAGATCTAAACCCTGCCTCCTTCTCTCCCCTCGGCTCTCTCTGATTCAGAGTGGGAACTCGTCAACTTTGCAGCACAAACACAATTACAGGCATTGACATCACGGTGACATCACTCCGGCCCGCTGAAGTCAGTGAAACACCCCGGATTAGAGTCCCTCCCCTCCCTCCTCGCGTCGCCTCCTCCCCCCGCCGCGGATCAGAGGAGAAACACAATGCGAGCTGGTCAGGCAGAGGGAGGGAGGGATGGAGGGAGGGAGCGGAGGAGGAGTATTTTTAGCTCCAGTGACGCAACTCAAGAGACGCTCAACAAACAGGAGGATATTGTGTCCCGAGTGGCTGCAAACTGTTGAGCTCCCTGATTCAACTTTGTGTTTGTTAAAAAAAAACAACGTTAAATTAAAGTTTGACATCACTAGTTTTCAGTTCATATTCACATCTCTAACATGAGTTTAACAAAACAAGAGTCAAATATTCAGAGTAATCAACAGCTGAACATCTACTGTTAAAAACAGAAGAACTTGTTTGGTTGATTATTTATTGCAGGGCTACCCATTGGTTCATTCATCTCTTCCCAAATCCCCAGTTTTCTACTTTAATTACTATAAGTTCTTTTAGACATGTTTGGTGTCTACAGAAACGTCAAAAAAATAAAATCCATGCACATTCAAGACAGTTAAAACCACAAGCAGTTGAAGATAAAACTATGAAAGTGAAAATCAAATTGGTTTAAAAATTTGGCAAGACGAAGATGTTAAAATAATATTTGTGTTAAATAGGAGGCAGAATGTGCTCTTTTTGTTTTTGATGTTTAATTGTCACTACTTTTATATGGTTCTGTATGTTGTATTCATGATTAAGTACAGCAAAATTAACTATTTCAAATATCTTTGTAATACTTGGTTTATTTACATAATAACTTTAATTGCTGGATGTTGGGCCCCTGAGCTGTTGATCTGCAGTAACTGTGGCCCCTGGAGAAGTTTAGTTATAAAGCCCTGTTTTATTGGATGCGACGATGCTGCTGCTTATAAATTATTGTTATTTTATTATTTACCATTATTTTACCAGGCAAGTCCTGTTGAGATCTCAGAAGGTCTGGGTTCTCCAAAGGACCTGGCCTACCCGGTCTATGTGGGCCAGGTCCTTGGTCGACCGCAAAAACGGGAAAAAATATTTGTGACTTTGGACGGTCCAGCCTTTACTCCGGCGTACGTCCTGTCGACTAGCAATCGCGACGACGCTAAACAGAAGCAAAAATAGTTCGAAATTTAAAAAATATCTATATATTAGCATTATAAATATGATAAAACAAAATTAGCTTAAGGACAACATTTGAAGAACTAATGGACCTAAAATAGGTGCACATTTATTTCTCTACACCAGCTCGTTTGATTTATGACAAGAATAATATTAAAACATCTTTTTATAAATGATAAATTAACAACAACTGCTTCAAACTTTTCATTTTCATATCATATGTCCTCCGTTCTCTCGCTTTATCCGCCACTACGAGCAGGAAAAAATCTCTGGTCGGCCCGCAATGCATTATGGGATACGCAGTGTTGTATAAAGTACCACCAAGTCATACTTGAGTAAAAGTACAAGTATCTTATCATAGAATTACTTTGGTAAAAGTTAAAAGTCTCCTTTAAGAATATTACTTGTGTAAAAGTCTTAAAGTATCTGATTTATTTTGTACTTAAGTATCAAAAGTAAATTTCTGACATAAAATGTACTTAAGTATTAAAGTGAAAATACTGAGTAAAAATGAGAGGTTAGATTTTCCAAATACATTTTTTTAAAGGCGTGCAGCTGTGATGGATTGTGTACAAACTACGATGTGTCAGAATGGTAAACACTTATAATTCTCATCTAACCACAATTAAATTCAAAGGCACAGTTTATCAGGATAGAATTTTTTTTAACAATAACGAGACAGAATGAAACAGGAGTAATGACTATCTACTTCTTACATTTTTTAAAAATGTACGGAGTAAAAGTAAAAAGTTGGACGAAAAAAATTTACTCAAGTAAAGTACAGATAACCAAAATTTCCACAGTAACAAAGTATTTGTACTTAGTTACTTTACGACTCTGGGAATACGGCGGGCCGAGAAGGCTCCATCGGACTCGTCCCTCTAATCGGGGGAAAGAGGACACATTTGTCGGAGGAGATTTTGAATTTGGACAGCCTCCRGCGCRGCGCTGTGACGTAAAYRGAYGATAAATTTGTCCCTCGGAGGACACAGCCCCTGAATTTGGACCCAGCCTTAGACTGATGWCACAGAAAGAAAACGAACTTCAAACAAAACTGTTTTATTATATCTTTGTTTACGCTGACGATGTGCTGGTTTTTAAGACAAACCGTAGACTGAGACAGGACCCTTAACAAGTGATGCTAACAGGATATGTTTCTGTCCCCCCACCTTGGATCAGGACCTGTCCTCCCTGGATGTAGAACTGGGATGGGCTTTCTCCAGCCTGCAGGACGGCGGCTCCGGGCTGAGGGGTGGGCGAGCTGGTCACCGTCAGGGCCTGAGCCCCTTGAAGGACCTCTACTGCAGGACCGGTCAGAGGGATGGCTCTGCCCTGAGCCAGAGCGACTGTGAGCAGACAGTTTACTTTAAATCAGGCTGAATAGAAAGAAAATACCAAGAGAACATAAACTGTTTGGGGTCTTAATCAGATTATTCTGAACACATGAAGTAAATAGATGATGATGATTTAAGGACCTCTGACGGGCCTGTCCAGCTCTCCTAGAGTAACCTCCTGTCTGCTGAAATCACCTTCATGCTCTTGAAACTGTGCTGACACAGCCGACCAATGGCACCAATGAATGTGCCGTCCTGGTGGATTAGGACCATAGGCGTAATTTGCGGGGGGGTTAGGGGGGTTATGACCCCCACAATAATTTGATCCAGTCAAAATAACCCCTCCAATAAAAGGACATTGTTTGCTCAAACGCAATAGAAATTAACTAGTTAAGAAGACAGAAGCAACTCTTGTCTTTAGTTAACTTTGACCTGAATAAAAAAATTACAATGTCATATATCTACGTTTTAAGCATAATTGCTAAARATGACATGCAGGGTTTTTGAGCATAACTCCCCCAATGGTAGACCTAAACTTACACCCTTGATTAGGACCATATATATATAAAATCTACATATACTGACTGTATATATATGTGTATATATTTGTACATAGTGACTGTATATACTTGTATATGTGATATACACGTACTGTATTGGCCTGAGCTGGTCTGGTAGATGGAGTTTGGCACTAGAGCCGAKGGGCTGCTGGAGTCCAGCACGTCTTCAGCTCCCTCCTCCTCGATCTTCGGCACGGTGTTCGTGTCTGACGACAGCTCGTTAAAGATCCTCCTGGAGAGAAAACASGAGAACGTTGTCGGACTCCGCTCAGAACACCACGTCATCTCACTTCGGGCCCTCCTCACCGATATGACGGACGCCTGGAGAGAATCTCACGCCTCTTCTGGGTGTCGGGGGCGGGCTCGTCGTCCTCCGGCTCGGCCGCCGCGGCGATCTGAACAAACGGGCAGTTTTTTTTTTTAAAACTCTGGCAACAACTTTCCTGTTTCGCGTCGTTTCTTAGGAGCTTGTTTGTCTCCATACAGAAGTCTCTTTGTGGTGCGTGTTTGGAAAGACGGGGATGACGTCAAAGAGGGAATTTAAGCAGGATATAATTTTCAGCTTTAATCTTTTACAGAGTGCCCACAGACGTTTTTAATACTGTAATCATTTCTGCACTTTAAACATTATCTTACTGCAGTCAGAACAGCCCTTCATTTGTATTATTGGATTAAAAATCATCTTAACTTGTAGATTTGGTTTTGTGTCAACACTCTGGTTTCTCTGACTCACTGATGTGTAATGGGTGCGCGTTACAAACAGGACTTGTTTTGGTAGCTTAGAGGASGATCAGTACAGCAAGGTGCCAACATTTCTTCATCCTGATGAGGATGTTACACATCATTCAAACTCTAAAATAATAAAAAATGTGGGTTTTCCATAAATTAGATTAATCTGTTTATTTGTTAAAAAGGGTTGACGAGTCTTTCATGCAGCGGACACAAACTGCAGCACTCGTGGACACGACTTTTTATTTTTTGTGTGCGTCTTTTCGTTGCAGTTCAGATTTTATCTTCTTTGGTAACCCCGTTTCCTCGTGAAAAATCTGTTTTTTTACCAGATGACAAATTGCCTCCACTTTGCAGCTAATGTTGCAGATGTGCTGATTCTGCTTCCTGTTAATATTCGTTTCATTTCCCTCCAAACTGCTTTGCTTCCACCACGAAAAACTTCCATCAGGTTTGCGTGTCGGCTGTTACATTAATGAACAAAAACCTGTTTTTATTTGGGTTTTCCTCCAGTTTCAGGAGCTTTTATTGCACAAAAACAATGTTTATAAAATCTCAACGCAGCAGCTAGATCAGGGGTCTGCAACCTTTACAATGAAAAGAGACATTTCTGCTACCGACGCAGTAATAAAATGTGTCCAGAACTGCAAAATAAGCTAAAGCTGTGATTATCAACTGGTGGTCCATGGGCCTTTTTGAGGTCTTTTTGGGAACCTTTACGGCCAGTGGAGGCGACATAATAAAACTAAAAAATATATTGTGAATTTTATTATTTATTATTATTTTTACACATCAAGACATAGAAAGACCATATTCATGTAAACAAGAAAAATATTGTATATAGTTTATAC